TAGGCTAAAATATCTTGGATCAAACTGTAAAAAAATTGAACAGGTTATAAATAAAAACAAACTTACATTTTAATTGTTTTTTTGTACTAGGATCTTAAAGGTAATGAGGTTCTTCACCTCATACCCCCTAGTTCCTTGATTTGTGTGCAGAAGAGATAGTGTTGCATTTGTAAATGAATAATTGAAGCATCATTAAAATAACTACATGGCTTTGTACACAGTACTGAGTGAGCAGTGTGATGTGGAATGTGGAAGCTCTAAAACCAATTGACTGGATAGTAAATACAATTTGGGGGTAGATCTATATTAAAAACATTAAATGCTTTTAAATTTAATATTAAAAATATTAAATTATTTTTAATGTGTCTGAGAATGTTTGTTGTTTTGGTGATTTTAAAGATGCTGTTATTTTCTGAAGAGTTTGAAACATCTTTTGTAAAAGAAAAATTATTTCATAACAGGGAAGTTATTTGAGAAAGACATGCTAATTTGATATTTAAGATGAAGAGATGGTAAGTTTCTGTATTCTAATAATGTTGATTCTAGTGATGATAATAATAAAAGTGAAATAAAGTGATGTTAATGTAATGCTTCTCTAATGAGTATAACTTTCTATGCCATTTCCATAGCCAGCAGTTCAATTAGTCTTAATGACTGTAGGAAGATGTTAGTTCTTTTAGTATTTTTAAAACTGTGTTATATTATTATGAATTTCAAACATAAATTAATTAATAAATTCAAACTTTTGTTTTTGTTTTTCTTAAGAACTGAGGATAATTATGAAGTTCATACAAGTAAGACTTTTGAATTTGAAATATGACTTTGAGAAAGTAATGCTTTTCTACTTGTTTCTGATAGTAGAAGAAACCACTGGGAACCTCTGAGAGTTTTTAAAATGCATTTCATGGTACAATTAATGCCCAGACAAGTCAGAATTTATGACAATGTGTGTTGAATCAGAATAATTCTGGTGCTGAATGTAGCACAGATCTATTTTATATGCAAAAAAGAATTTTTTTCCCTCTGTCTACGAAGTGTACCTGCTTGACACTTCAACGGTGAGAAACTAATTGAAAGATTAATGTGATGTATAAAGCCTGTATTCATAGATGGGAATTTGTACACATTTCATGTGGAAAATTGAAGTACAATTTTTTTCCCCTGGCTTTATAATGGTAATACATTACAGGATTTCAACTTGATAATATACTTAATCTGTGAACAAGTATTCTAAGACTCTTTACATGGTTGCAAATTGATACAAAAATACAATTTTCAAGTCCTGTGTTCACACTGAATTACATTAATAATTAATTAGTCTTGCTGCGGCTAAAGTTTCATTCTTTTTGTTAGGTATCAGCCAAAGTTTCTTTTTTCACTCCAGAAAGATGTCATCAGATACTGTGTTTCCATAGAGAACTATCAAGCTTGCAGACAGTGCTTTTTTTTTTTTACTAATTAGTATCCATGAAGTACTGGAGAAAAAAACTCAAAGGCTTTAGGTTTTCAAGTTACTTTTAGGTTGTGGCGAACTTCCTTAAGCACATATTTGGATGCATCAAAGCAGCTTTGGTTGCTGAGCAATGTAAGCATAAATAAAAAAAGAAGAAATAACAATTTAAACCTACAGTTTTAAAAGATCGAATGTGAAATACACAAGAGCATTTTTCCCTGAAGTTGTTGCACAATTTGTCCTATTAGAAGGAAACATTTGCTGTCCTTCATTGTGAACCATTCCATGACTGGAATTTCGTTCAGTCTCCTGCTCAAATCAGCGTTGACATTGAATTCAGATAAACTTGCTTAGGACAGCCTACTCCAATAATAAAGCAGTTATTCTCACAGATAAATTCTGTTGTCCTATGATCTTTATCTGTCAAGCCTTCCTAATCTGTCTTCTTTTCTTGCCTTCTCATCAGTTTCTGGCTTGTTCTGTGTACTCCATCTCCATGTTACACCATCTTCATAACTCATGCTTCCCATTTCCTCACTGGACATCATTAACTTGTGTCTAATTGCCACCTGCTACTTCACTCTCACTTCTGTTGGTCCCTGCGTTCTGGTGAATCACATTTTCTTCTTCCTGCCTTTTCTGCCACTGCCTCTATGTTTGATAAGTGTTAGGGACTGGAACTCATTGAAGAATGAAGATTTTCTGCTCTTGGCCCAGTCTCTAGTCTCATTTGGGTCAGGACCAATAATTCAAAGAAAACTAAGTGTTGTTCCAATAGCCCCAGACATTCTCAGTTATCCATATGCAGTCTTGGGAGGGGTAGGAGCATGCCTACTGCCAGCAGAACCTTGGGAGATGTCATCTGTTAAACTTTGTGGTCAAAAATGAGCTTAGGCTTTTGTCAAGTCTCAGAGTTTTCCCATATGTAGTAAGATTCCATGAAAATGGAATGCCTGACAAACAATAAATCAACACCTGACATATGCCAATTTTTTTTGTGTGTTTCTATTTGTTCATGATAATGAAAATATAAAAAACCCCACAAAACAACAACAAACTAGCTGCCTTTCCTCTCTGTTCCAGAATAAAATTTCACTTTTCTCACCTTGTTGCTCTGCTTGATGCAGCAGGACGTCTCACTTGAAGTTATTGGCAAGTTCCTTTTCATGGAAAAATTTTCAGGGTTGTAGACACAATGTTATGTGATCTCTTCTGGTCAAAGTTAAAAAGTGAAGCAAAAATAATTTTCACAGTTTCAGATAGGTCTGGATGTCCAGCTCAAAACAGAAGTGCAAGTCTGACCAATCCATTTTGGATGGTGGAAGGCACATTTCTTTTGATCTTTCAGTTTTTGAAAGACACGTATTTAATAATTTAAGAACAGCACCACAGACCCAAATGTTCCCTGTCATCCTGCAGAATGAACTGAAGAGTTTGTGGAACTGCATGTGTTTCTCAGTCAGCACTTTTACATAGATGTATGAGCCCAGATTTACAAAGGGCATATGTCGAATCAGAGAATGATTTAATTTGGAAGGCTCCTGGGAAAGTAATTTGAAGTTCAGGCCCCTCCTCAAAACAGGGGTAACGTTAAAGTTGGATTCTATAACTGATCTAGGCAATCTGTTCCAGTGATAAATCCCTCTTATTCTGGATTTTTCCCCCCTCCAACTGGAATTTCTCTTGTAGTTATTTCAGACTCTTGCCTCTTGTTCTTTTGTATTGCATCTCTGAGAATGCAGGGTGTGTTGCCAACTTTTCTGTAATCCTACTCTTTTTTACACAGTGGAAAATGTTGCCATGCAGCATTATAGTCCTAAAGTGAAGTGCCAAAATCTTGGCAAACAGAATTCATAAATCTGATAAATCTTTGTAAATCTTTAATAAATAGAAAAAAAATCACGAATGTGATTTATGGTGGTGAGTAGAGAGTCTAGCAAAATCAGCAGGAATAAAGGGGTATGTGAAATCCTAGCTTTCATCCCAATGAATGCAGTTGGGTTCAATCCTGAAAGATACACGTCTGTGTGTTGCGGTGACAAAAACCACTCTTAAGTGTTAAGGTGTCTGTTACCTCAAGACCTTACTCTCTCTCTTTAGAATGTAGGTTTGAGACATAACTGAGGCTATAATGCTTCTTAATTGATCACTACTAATAAACCAGTTAACAGATAATTAATCAGCAATCCACTAGGTATCACAGTTTTATAATGCTTTATACCATTGTTAATTGCATGTAATTATTGAGTTCTAACACTTTTTTCTTATCAGTCGCACTGTATTATTTTGGAATTACAGTTCTATAACCTTCACTTTAACCTCCCACCCCAGTCAGTAACAACTTTACAATTCTGTCACCCTTTTAACTTCTCACTTGGAGTGTTTTGGATGTAGACCCTGTGGAGAGTCCACTGGGTTTCCCATGAGTCTTCCCTCTGACCCTTTATTAATGAAGCAGCTCAGCTTAATTAGAGTCTGTGGGCATCTGCATGCCTTTCAAAAGATCTGCCCACTTTTGTACTTGTACTGCCTTTATGAGTTGTTCTTTACCTCTTAGATTTCTAGACACTTGTTTTTCCTACCCTTCTATATACCTTACTCTACCCACTCTACTTTCAAATAAACAAGCTGCCCCTTAATTGCTCTTTCCCTATTGCTCCAATTTGCTACATCCACTTGCAGATTTCATATTTCTAAAACCCTTTCCTTGATAATCTTGGCCTTAAATGGTCTTATTGATGTTGTTAGATACTGATGGACTTGTAAGCTTCTACCCCTGTCAAATATCACCAATACTCCCTTTCAGTTACCTGCTCAATAGCAATTACATATTCTTTATTTTACATGGTTGCTAAGACACGTCAGTCTCCTTTGGTCTCTTTTACTTCTACCTGGTTTTGATTAAGTGTGCTTTATCTCTATTCCACATAGCTCTTTCTGGTTCATATGCAAGTGAACATACATGCTTTTTCTCATTCCTTTCTTTGCTCACACGGTATCCTGGTTATCAGGGAGCAGCGCAGGCCAGCTGGTCCCTAAGGGAAGAGGAGCCAGGTGCTGAGCATAACAGGCTGACAAAGCAAGACCTCAGTCCCTCCCCAGTAACACTATCTCAGAGTTGTCCTTGAGCCCAGGTAGCCAAACCTCCATCCCATTCCAGGAAGAGGGCTTGCTGTTAACTCCCTTCCAGAGGGCTTGCTGCTAGCTCCCTTCCAGTGCTCACTCTGTCAGACCTTCCATCAGAAACCATCAGCCTTGACGTCTTCTGGTAATCTCCCCATTTTTCTGTCTTGTTATGGGGTCCAGTACTCTGGCAGAACCGCTTCCTCAAAGGGTCAGTCCTCGCTTAGATTAGGACCAGATGCTTTTCTGTTCTTTGAAAAGATGACTAAACATTAACTCAAATTTAAATGGTGTTTTTTTAGTTATATCTCGCATATATATTTGCAACTTTACAGGTATTTAATAATGATCAATTCTGGTACTGTTACAACTTTATAAACTTTTACAAGATTTTGAAAAATGTGTTTTTTTCTGTTTCTTTTAGTATCTCCTGAAGCAATTGGATTCCTGTCTGCAGTTGGGGTGTTCATTATTCTCATGTTGCTACTTTTCCTATATATTAATAAGAAGATGTGTTTTGAAAACGTTAGTGGTTTCCCAGATCTCGATTCAGGATACACTACAAGAAAGAATTCACAAGATAAACTTTGTAAGTATTTGACATACAGTGTACTAAACTTAATTATAAAAATGCACATTTTTACAAGGATGTAACAACACAACAGCATTGACTTTTCCTCTGACTGTGCAATACTTGGAAAGGAACAAACCTTTGTGTCCACGAGCTACAGAAATTCAACAGCTGTATAACCAAAGAGTTGACCTTTACTTATGGGAAGATACTTCTCTTGCACTCTGAGAATACTCTTGAACTCATTTTAAACATTCCATAATTGTGTAAAATTAAATCCTTTCAAGTAAATTTGTGAATGGATTATTGGGTTTTCACTCAGCTTATTAAAATCCTTCACCAAACTTTTGGAGGTCTTGCATTTTTCACCTGGAAAGTAATTTTAAAGAACTAAAACATTAGAAACATCTCTGACTGGCAAATTACTGAATACTTTTAATACAACAAGGTCTTTAGTGATCATGCGTGACAAAGAAACTTAGACCTTGAAAAACATTTTGGGGTTAGTAAAACAACCCCTTTCTACTTTTGTGCCATGGAAATTGAACAGGCTTTGTCAGCTGATGTGAGAGAAGGAGAAAGGCCCCAGGGAAGAGAATGGGAAATTGGAGAGGTCTTCTTCCCCTCTACCTCTTAAAATATGGAGCTAAATTTTTGTTTTCAATTTTCTTGGAGACAAAAAAATTTCTTCCCCTTGAAATTAAGTCTGTCATGTTAACTTTCTTTTTTGCTACAAACCAAATCTTCATGTTCCAAAATACCTTACCTTATTTTAAAGGCAGCAGATGTTTTGGGGTGAAGAAGTCTCCATGATGTGTGTTGTGTTGGTTATGTTGTGTTAAAAATTTGTTTCAGTGTGACATTGATGAAAGGACACAATTTAACTCACAACTTCTTCTTTGCAGGTTAGGATAAAAAAAAAAAATTCCAACTCACACAGTTGTCTGGTTTTTGAAAATAATGAATTTTTTTATGGCTAGTTGGTGCTGCAGTTGATGAAAGACTATGGTTTTGCTGGTTGATTGTGGCCTCATTTCAAAGTATTTACTTAGCTGTTTTCTCATTATTTTCAATTCACATTGAATGGAAAGAGGAAAGCTGCAACTTCCCCTGGTAAATATATTGATTTTTGAGATAGCAAAAACAAATAGCTCTGAAATTGAACTTGGAGAAACAGAGATGATCTGTTTGTGAAGCAGAGGACCTTTCATTATTAAAAATTGTTGCTGAATAGGCTGGACAAATGGCGTTTTTCAAAAACCTTCACCAAAATCTGAGCCTCCCCTCTGTGTCTTCCCTGGTGGACACGCTTAGCAGTGCTGTGGATGATCTGGCAAGTGTTGTTGGAGAGGTCAGCTACACTGTAGCTGACTCAGTAACAGAACAAGTAACCAGCATGATAAATGGCCTTCGTGCAGAAGATGAGAGCTCCAAAATGCAGAACGATAAACTTGTGGAGGGGAGACGGGAACATACACCACCATTAACTCATTCTCAGGAAATTAGCATGGAAGTGAAGAGAGGTGTTGCAGAACACAAAGAGACTCATTATTCTAATTCATTAGATTTTGTAAAAAAAGGTACAAGTCAAGTTGGAGTATCTGACCATGTCTTGGACAAAAACCAGAGCCAGTTGAAAGGCACAGATAATGATAATCCATCCAGTTATACAGAAGTACCTCAGGTTTTGAAGTCTGTAGGAGGACCTTTTAAAAGGGAAGCAGTAGGGGGAAATGAGTGTATTGTAAATGATAAGTTCTTGAAGGATAGTCACCTGAAAAGTAATAAATTTACCACGGAGCAATCTATTGAGGAGCAAGATAATTGTCTATATGCAGTATCAGATAATTCTAAGAATCACTTGCGTAGAAAAATCAAACCACGGTCACCTGGAGTTGATTTTAAGGATTCTGATCAAGTGCATAGCATGAATGTTCCCCAAGATTTAGAAACAAAACTTGTTGAAGTACAGAAGCAAAAATTATCAGGCTCCAGCTTGAAGAAGATGCACAATGATCCCAATTGCCTTAATGAAATCGAAGAAAAGAAATCAGAAGCCCTTTTTGATAGAAAAGGAAAATTCACCTCAAAGGATGAAGACATGTCAACTACAATTGCAAATGATGGTAAAAAGAAAAACTCAAAGAAATTAGAGAGAGAGCTATGTAATAAGAAGACAGCAGGAAAAGGTGAGGAGTCCATTAGCAAACTGTATTCTTCAACCTTTCCTGAAACTTATGATAATTCCTTCTTTTTTCACATAATGTACACATTTAATAATAGTGTTTGCCTGTGGATGAAAGTAGGTTTGTTTTTTCAGTGCTTCATTCTCTACTGATGTTGATATTTCTTGAAAGTTAATTACTTTTGAAACTATTACTTAAAGGAATTGATTAATAAATGGCTTTCCTATGTTCTAACTTTAATTTCTTTTCTACATGGTTTTTCTTACCTTCTCTGCAGTGCCTTGTGTGATTTCTGTTAAAAACTATGAATTAATTAATTAATACTTGTTCTGGAATGTCGTTTTCATTTTGTTTATTTTAAAAGCATTGCATAAAATGTGCTAAGATGATAAAAGAAATAACTTCTCTTGCATTTACATTACAGTAGATCTTCAGAATATTTCTGGGATGTGTAAGATTATGATTTCAAGACGCAAGACTCAATGAGAAATGGCTATTAAGTGATTTTAAGTATAGAAAAAGTGAATGAGGCTTGTCTTAAAGTTGTAGTCTTCAAAGAAAACCTGCGTGTTGTTGATATGAATACTGTGTGTGCCGTCTTTAACATCTAGTCTTAAACAACAGGATAAAGGGATTGCAATAACAGTTGAAGTAAAAGTAAGAATTAAAATCTTGCAGTTTTACACAGTTGTTTTGCAAGCTGCCTAGGAAAGTTTTAGAAAGCAACACAGGCTTTTCCACAGGTGCTGTTTCTGCAGAGAAATGAATGCTTTCATAATAGAAACACATTTTTTTTCTTCAGTGTGTGTGTTTTCCCTTATCTGAAAACTTCAGTTATCTGCTTTCTTGGGTTTTGGTTTGGTTTGGGTTTTGTTTGGTTGGTTTTTTTTAATTTGGTTTAGGAGGTGTTTTCCATGTTTGTATGATAACTATGATCTTATCTATTATTTCTTTATGTAATGCTATATTTGTAAACTATATTCTCTCTCAAAAATGGCATTTTAGGTCCCATAATAAGCAAATTAATAGATTTCAATAGTGTACTAATTACTCATGACCCGTGTTAGCCAAATAAAGCAAAATTTTTAATAAGAACATGAATTCTCTTAGGCAAGTTTCCTACTAAGATATGAAAGTCAAACAAGAAGTGGCAAGGAGAGGCATAAAACCCTGAGATTTTTTTTTTTTTTTAATGTACAGGAAGCTATTTTTTCCCAAGAATCTGAAACAGATTAGCATTGTTAATTTTAAAAAGTGTTTGCATCGATAGCTTATGTTTTAACTTTAGTGAGGTTTTTAAGTCCTCTGAAGAGGTCTTGCTTCCTGACTTATAATAGTACACATTCTCAGTCTTTTATGCTAGGAACTGGAGAAAAAAATAATTGGTATCCCTGAGAACTTCTGGATGCTTACAAAAGTCAGTGTATTATTAGAGACATAACTTTCTACTCTTCTTTAAAACATGTTGCTATCATGCTTTATACTATTCCATTCTTTATGCAGGCTGATTAGTGAACCTAATTTCATATTTGTGAATACATTTCTTGCAATGCTAAAGGATACATCTAATACTGTTGTCTGGCACTATATTTTAGTCCTTGTATGCTCTGCTTTAATTATAGTTGTGGAAATCTGCAGAAGTTTCCAAGTTGACAGGTTTTAGCCTATCGAGGGCTGTATGAGATATAAAATTTTACTCTGTGTACCAGCAGAGGCTTTTCTGGGCAGCCTCTTGCACTGAATGTGTTAGCCAGAATAGATCCTGCTTGGTGTGATATTTTCAATAAGTGATCAGTGAAATTGAACTTGCTTTATAGACATCCATGAAATGGGAAGAACCATATCTGTTAGACTTGGTTTAAAATTGATAGCCTAGACTTGAAAGACCTAGTTGCTCATTAGCAGTCTATTAAGGCACTATTTTTCCTGTAAATACTAAATTAAGATTATGTACACATTGCATGTAGACCTGTAGCACCATATCCAGTTAAGGTTTTCTGACTTTTTCCATTTCAAGACCTTATTTTCAGTTCCCTAAAATTGTGTGCTAAATTTGAAAAATCTGTGATGAAATTAGGCATTATTTCTGTTGGAGATCACGTTAGGTTTTTGTTTTGTTTTGTTTTTCTTCTTTTTTCCCCCTCAAGTTATACTTTAAAATCTTCAGCTGTTTCCAAAAATATATTATGGGAAAAACATGCTGGGTATTTGTGCAACAAAATAAGTAGATTTCACATCAGCTTTACTAAGATATTTTGGCACCTTTGTATATTGGAATTTGTACTTGAAATGTGGGAGAGCACTTTTCCTGTGTCAGAGAGGCCCATGTTCTTTTATGAAAAAAAACCCCAAAGTTTGATGAAGTTGTAAATTTTTGGAAAGTTTGCTTTTTGAAAAGACATGGTAAACACTTCTTATACTTTGCTTGTTAAATTCACTGACCATCCCATTTGCACTCATATGCTTCATTTTAGGAGTTGAGGAATAGAGCAGGTCTTATCGTGCCTTTAATGTTTGTGGTTGCTGAGGGACAGTGGAAGTTTGAACAGAAAAATTGAGAATAAATGTGTCCTTTGTGAGGACAGAAACTTCCTGAACAAATATAATGTGATGCATGCAGTAGATTGGGATTTGAAGTAGGATGGGTGACAACAATGGGGCTGGAAAGCAGGAACTTACTCGTATAAATGTAACTTTCTAAAAGATGTCTTACCTAAACTTGTAGCATAGGTTTTTTTGTATGAGTACCAGGGAGAAAAAGACCTTGATGGGAAGTGGTTTTATTCATATGCTCTAGAGGCTTACCTAAAAGTAGGAAGGATGGACCTCTGTTGTTAGGCAAACACTTGACTGTAGAAGAGGCCTATATGATTGAAATACGTTGAGTTACTTTAATTTTAAATGGCTGCATTTTGAGTAATCTGAATCCTTCCTTTAGTAGGAATACTCAGCCAAAGGAGTGAGACTGACTGGGTGTGAAGGCAGAGACTAATGGGAGTGGAAATGCAGAACTAGAGCTAAGGACAGGGACTGGGAAGAGGTCTTAAAAGCAGGGAGGGGAGAAGCAGTTGAGTATGACTGGACAGCATGTTAGAGAACATTCCCTCACAGAATCAGGAGCTGAAAAACAACATTTTGGGTGTCTCAAAGCTCTTCTAGTAATGGAACTTCGCTGGCAAATCATATGCTGTAGGCTTGCTCACTGAGTAGTGGTCATGCTGACCTTTACTGAGTTTACACGAAATCTCTTAATGCTTATTGGAGTCTGAGATTTACAGAACCTGTGCAAAGCATGTTAAATTTGGGTGGAATCCATCTGAAGTTTGGAAGAGGGAGGAGGAAACTTTCCTTCTACAGAGATAAATATGCAGCTGAATCTTTGATTTGTGGGAGGAAGTCATGCTTGAGATGTAGTTGGAAAACGTTAGCCACAGGAGTGGGCACTATGAAGAGCTGACATAAAAGAATTGACTAGATAGATTTTTTTCCATGTAATTTTTGCCGTTGCCAGATGTCTGTAGTGAGAATCTGCATTAATTTCAGTTATTGAACAAGAGGCTGTTTATTTAAAGTTAAATAAAATTGTGCATGCAAACATCTTTCACTAGCATTTTCTTTCCCATTTGTTATTATGAGTTTAAGCACTACTGGCATAAATATCCCAAGATGATTTTTTTGTAGGCTTCTCTTGGCAAATCAGTTTCATTTCTATGCTATGCTACATGCTCACAGCAAGGATCAGCTGGGAATGTAGGATCAGGAGCTGCCTTTTTGTATATTAGGTATCCAAATGCATTTTCCTACCTAATGAAGGGTTTCAAGAATGTCAGTGCGTGCTGCCTTACAAGAATCGATCAGTTTTCTGTTGAATAAGTATTAGAATGGTATTTGGGGCTTAATGATCTTTCAGGTTTTCTAGAAAATGAAAATAGCTCTCACCAGTTACAAAATCACATAATGGTTATAATTACAATAAAATATTTTTAAAATATTACAGAAATTTTAATGAAAATTTCTTAATGAAATATCTTAAATATCTTCAGTGATAACCTTTTATGGTTATTTTCTTGTATTCTATTTTGAGCTGTAGTCGATTTGCTTTATTTTATTCAAACAGACAATTCTTATATGAGTAAAGACCAGCATGGTTCATCATCTGAGAGTGAAGATGAAGCACTGGGTAAATATCATGAGGCCTTGTCTAGAACCCAGAGTTCCAGGCTGCCAGTGGTGGATGGCAGACAGCAAAAAAACTATATATGGGAAACCAGACAAAAATATAGTCCCCTGTCTGCAGAATATGATGGATACAGTAGTGAAGCCTCAATAGATGAAGGTAAGAGTGATTTAAAAGCCTTCCTTTTACTCCAAATTTCAGAATTGTGTTCTGGATAAGTAAGTCCTAGACGAGAGCAGCTTGACTAGAAAATAGTCAAGATCTGCAAGAAATATCCAGACACCTTTTATATTTGTGCATGCTCAAAAAAAAAAAAGGCACAGACTTGTGTGCATTCTTTCAGAAATACTGCAAATGATATAATACCTTGTTATATTAAGTTTCTTTAAATTTAATTTTGGGGGAAATTTAAACTGGTTTGATTTAGGAAGGAAGCATGGCAACTCTTGTTGAATTTGTGGTATTATAAATACAAAGGAGACATGTTATTCCTCTCTTGATAAGCTGTTATAACAGCAAAGTAAATGGAATAGATTATTGGCTATGGTGCATATGGTCATTGCAGTGTGCATTACTGGAATGTTCTGTATGTTTTCTTCTCTTGAAAGAAATTACTACAAAGATTAGATTAATGTATTTTTTTCATGATGCTGAAAGTTGGATGTAAACAATGGATATTCTCTTATGTGCTGTATATTTTTTGATTTTAAGTCAGGGTGACAACTTGACCTAGAGGCTGAGAATTCTGCTGTCAGTATTTTGTCAATATGCTTTTTGTATTTGAAAATAGCTGTATGTGAGAATTGTGTCTGTAGCCAGTTTCGAG